TTTTTTTTGAGCCAGAGTCTTACTCTGTCACCCTGAGTAGAATGCCATGGCATCATATCTCACAGCAACTTCAAACCCTTGGGCTCAAGCAATCTTCTTGTGTCACCCTCCCTTGTATCCAGGACCACAGGCGCTGGACACAATGCCCCTTTATTTTTTAAGTAGAGGTGTGTTCTCATTCTTGCTCAGGCTGGTCTTGAACTCCTAAGCTCAAGTGATCCATCTGCCTCAGCCTCCCAGAATGCTAGGATTAAAGGAGTGAGCCAGCACACTGGGCTCATTCATATTTATTTCTATGTTGGTCTTTCCCATTCTCCCACCATGTTTTTATTTTCTGGTTTTATAGACTCTATTCCTCTGAAACCTCAAGAACATTTCAGAAATTTCCATCTATCGTTGTAAAATAAGCAATTTTCCTAGTATTCCTGTACTAAATTAATGAGGACCACATCGCTGGGAAGCCAAGTGCTACAGTAGCACTTGTGTGTGTGTGTGTGTGTGTGTGTGTGTGTGTGTGTGTGTTATATTGACCTTCCTGCAGGGACAGAGGTTGCAGATGAGAATCTGGGGAAGTGCAGAGAAGTCCTGAATGACTAGGAAACAACGCTCATCCTGTCTCATTGCGAGGATGTAGATTTAAGGCATTATATTAATTTATATTAATTTTGTTCTGAAATTTCAAAAACTTTGAATGTTGTTGATAAGAGTTGTACATTACCAGTTGATGGAAGTATTTCAGATTGCATGTGAAAACCCCACACTGTACCCCAGAAGTGCATTAATGTACATAGTTACCGTTCAATAAAAAAAAAAAAAAAAAGAGTTGTACATTAAGCAAACAGTGAAATTACCTACAACACTGAGCAATACTGTTGCAGAAAGATCAGCAGACCTGAGTATTGGCAGCAAAAGCAAGATCAATGGGCTTTGGATGTTGCTAGTGCTCTGTCAATAGTCGCTGGATTTATGCATTTTTCTACCATGTCTGAGGCACACTCTGAATTAGTTGAGAGGAAAAAAGTGAACTGTGACTTTCAGCGTTCACTTGCCTTAGCGAGACTTTTAATCCATTAGACCAGGAATTTTCAACAAGTATGCGACAGCACACTGGTGTGCCGTGAGAGGGTCTTAGATGTGCTGCAAAAATTTTTAAAGACCATTATTTAAATTATTTTCAAAAGAAGTTTAAAGCACAGTAAGTATATTCTTTTTTTTACTCTTTTTTTGGAATAGTTTAAGTGTGCCACGGAAGTTTAACTACAGGTTCAAGTGTGCTGTGAGATAAAAAAAGGTTTTAAAAACACACTGAGTTAGAGCCTCATGTTGCCTCCAGTCTTGAATTTACATCCTTTCTAAAGAATCTGTATAGAGCAATGACTCAGTGCATAAATAATTAGACATTGCAAGTCAAGAAGCCTCTCACACTTAAATCCAAGTTCTTCTTTCCCGCTGGGTGATATTCTTTATACGAATATTACCAAACATTCTTAACCTCAGTTTCATTATCTGTGAAGGGAGATAACAATATCTCCTTATAGGGTCTCTCACAGAATTTCACTAAATTAGTCATTTGGGTTCCTTGGCATTGTGTCTGGCATAAAATGCACATGTAATGAATAGATTTATTTACAATATTTCATATATTCTATGTTTAGTTGCCTTGTTTTCTTTCCTTGAAGTGAAATTCCTTACAATTCATTAATATATGCTATTTTTATTAAGACTGTACTGCTTACTGATCCTCTAGAAATGTCATTTATTTAATATAAATACTTTTTTTTTCTCTTAATCATCCTTGAATGCTAGCTTCATTATTCTGTGTAACTGCCTTTTTATTTATCCAGGGGTTTTGCCAGCACAAACCACATCTCCTAAATACAAAGTGCTGATAGCTTTGCTGGAGTATTCATGTATCAACACAGATATCGCTCACTCTTCCCATAGAAAAACCAAGAGAGAAATTACACACGGCAGTGACAAGATGTAATCTTTGAGAAAATGAATAAATTGAAATCAATGACAAAAAAATATGTTCAATGTACATATCAAAAAGAAGTGAGGAGATCCTTTCGTAGTTGCTAAGTGTGATGACTGAGTTTTCCTGCTCAAGTGTGAGATGTGGCCCTCTCCAGCCTCCCATTGCATTACCCACATTCCCTGTCTTACGTGAACTTAGAAAAATGCAAGCAAGGGCAGCTACAGAAGAAACGTAAATGATACTGCAGCGTGAGGAAAGTAGAAGGAAATGTGTGTTCTAACGTTCTTGAGAAATAGACCGCAGCAAGGCAGGCTTACAGGGTGCAAAATTCACGTGATCTCTGATCTTGTGTGGTGTGAGGGCGGGAAGAAGTGCATGGCCACAAGCATTCCCTCGGTAGCCTGTCAGGCTGCCCGACACGGCACCATTAGAATGTCTGAAAATCAGTGTCCAGAGAAAAGAGTCATAAGTTATTAACAGTCTTCATGTAAGAAAAATGATTATAGCTAGTTTAGAGCAAGGCAGTCTGGGTGAGGCCAACAGACAAGGTTTCTAAAAAAGAAAGGTAGAATTTCTGATGTGCTGAGTTATGTGTATGAGAAGTGAAGCCAAAACAAGAGATGAAGGAAATGATGACATCTAAGACTAAAGTGAAAACAGCCTGAACAGGAAGAATTATTTTTGTCTTCACTTAAGAAAATGACCTATGTGCCACTATTATACCTGAGTCTTCCAGAACAGAACTGTAATGGCACCTAGCTTCAGCAATAAAAGAAAATCTCGGAGACTCAGGGTTGGGTAACCTTGCAAGTACTGTCACAGCTATGGGCTCCTTGATTTATGGCAATGTTAGGAATCTGGGTCTTCTCCTTCCTGAAGTACGGCCACATGCTATAAAAGGGCATTCTGAATCACAAGGCATAAAACAGTCCGTTGAGGGAGGGATATTCTGAGTCAGAAATAATGGTGATAAATCAGGAACAGTGAATGTGGCTATATGGTTTTATTTTCTTAAAGTCTTTCCCACACTTTTTCGCATACTCTGTTAGAGACTAAAGCCATGACAATTACATACAACTGGAGAGATGGCCCTTTTTAATGAATATTCTCTCAAAAATGACACGTTATGCTACACCCTAATGCTGCAGCAAAAGTTATACACTGTATGTATAAATATGCACAAATATATATAAATATTTACATTCATAAGACTATACTCATTTCTTCAATAAATTAACTAGCATTCATTCTTATTTTTTAATTAACTACAGCTTACTTATGAATGTATAAAGATGTAAATAAGCCAGATGTTTAGTGGTCCTCTGTGTGTGTATGTGTGTGTTTAATTTTTAAATCGAAAACAAAAACACAAATTTAGTATCGGAAGTTCAGAGTACAGTCATTGAACCGATCAGATATGAATGCCAATACTATCTTCAGAAAACATCCTGTAGTTACCAGAAATGTTATCAGCCTTAAAATTGTATCCTTGTTATTTCTTAGATTCCAGGAGACTTCACCAATTCAGTCACATAAAGAGTTACTTGTAAATATTCGTAAAATGTTTAAGCTCAAAGAAACATGGGGTACATATTGTCTGTGTTGTCATCTTTTTTCAGCCTAGTGTAGACCCTTGAGTGCCAGAGCTTTAAAATTTATTCTTTTGGATATTTGTAAGTGACCCAAAAGTCCGTGATGTAAAATAATTTTCAGTTTGTCTGTTGCACAAGTTGCCATGTCTTAACCTTCTGTGACCTAAGCCAAATGCTACTGTGACTTCATGTGTTCTCCGTTGTAACTCACGTTTGACATCTGTGTGTGAAAAATCACCCCCTTTCACCAAAGAAATCATTCAGTAAGTAATCATTCATACAAGCCAACTGCTGGTATTTGTGAGAGCAAAAAAGAGAATGGAAAGAGGGCTAATTACTTCTTAGTCTTAATATGGAGTTTTGAAATAAATAAAAATTAGAATTTTAGGTGACGTTGTATTTATTTATTTACTACATATTCTGTACAAAAAAAAACCTAGCAAAAAATGATTTGTAAAACTTGTTCATGGTTCCAACTGGTACACGACTATCCATCAATTCAGTTATTCTCAATTCAAAGAGAAAAGTGAAATCAAAATGGAAAAGATGATTACTTGGTGGTGTTACAATGCACAAAGTTATCAGTGATTCTCAGTGAAAAAGTGATTCACATGAAAGCTTTTAAAATATCTTCATACTTGTAATTTTGAGGCATCATGAAGGAATCTAATTGATGTGTCTTTCACAGATTTCAATGTTACCAAAAATTGTGTTGTTGCCCTGCTTTTTTATCAGCCACAATGACAGAACATATAATCAAGAAAGTATTCAGGTTTTTTATTCTTTGGAGAAAGAAGGGAGAAGGGAGAGCTTTTTGGCCAAAGGCCCCCCTCTCTTGAGCAAAGAGAGATCCTGGGCTTTTAGAGTCAGGTATGGGACGCAGGAGGTGTGTAAGCCTGCACAAGAGGAGGTTCAGACACGCAGACACAGTGCAAGATATGCTTTTCCAGACATAATATTGACAAAAAATGGCAGTGATTCTCACTAGGGCCAGTGGTTTGCGTATCACAGTGATATGTTCATGAGTTAAAGGGAACTGAGGTTTGCTTTGTACAGTTCTAGACCTCTGGCATTTAGCAGGGGGTCACATAACTATTTGTAGCATATGGGCCTTCTGTTTCTTGAGAAGTTGTGCCTCTAGACAATCAGTTGTGCTCCTAGACAACTAAAGAAAAATCTTTAAAAGGAAGAAAAAAAAGAGAAGAAAAAATTATTAAAAATTTTCCTTACCCTTTATCAAGGCCATCCTAGTGAGATCAATATGAAAATAGTCTTTTCCTTTAAGTTTGAAGAAAGAGGTGGCATAAGTAAAGAAAAGATTATGCCCTGAAGAATTAGATAAACCTAAATTTCATTGCAAGTATCACTTTCTCTTCATCAGGGGACCTTAAGCACAGCACTTAACCTCTTCAATTCCTAATTTCCCCATCTGCAAACGCAACCTACAGGTGGAATAGCTATTAGAGGAGGTGGTGCAAGCAAAGTATCTGCACAGGGAAGCAAGCATTCAAAGCACACTCTTTACAAAGATGTTTTCTAGTGGAAATACTGATTCTGTGTTATCATCTATCAGTAGATATGTATTTGTGGTACATCCAAAATTGGAGGGACAGTTTAAGGTCATATGATGTATAGAGTCTTATTGTCAAAAGTAACCAATTCATCAACTACTCCTTAATAACACTTTCAAGTAAAAACTTAACTCTCCAGGGAAACCAATGTTTGCATAGTTTTTAAAAAGCATTTAAAGTTAATTCATAATATAAATGTGCATTATAGTTTATTCGCTGAAAAATAGGAACCCACTTAATCTGAATGTTGATCAAAATCCATAAAAATAAACTTTTGTGTTGGTCTTACATATACGTAAAATCAAAACATCATGTATATTCAAATGCACAAGAAATAAAAAATATTATTTTGCCTATGAAAATATTTTATGAGGAAGACACCCCTGCCAATTGCAGCAATACCCAAAATAAATTACTTGGATCTGATCAAGATAAAAAGCTTCTGCACAGCTAAGGGTACTACAGCCAAAGCAAACAGACATGCTTCAGAATGAGAGAAGATTTTTGCATGTTATAAATCTGATAAGGATCTGATAACTAGAATCTACAGAGAACTCAAATTAATCAATAAGAAAAGTGCAAAAAATCCCATTTCTATGTGGGTAAGAGACTTGAACAGAAGCTTCGCTGAAAATGACAGATGAATGGCCAACAAACACATGAAAAAATGCTTATCATCTTTAATCATCAGAGAAATGCAAATCAAAACCACTTTGAGATATCACTTAACTCCAGTAAGATTAGCTTAGCCCACACCACAAATCTGCAGCTGCTGGTGTGAATGTGGAGAGAAGGGAACACTTCTGCACTGCTGGTGGGATTCCAAACTAACACAACCTTTATAGAATGAAGTATGGTGAATTCTCAAATAACTAAAAGTTGACCTTCCATTTGATCCCTCAATCTCATTACTAGGTATCTACCTAGAAGAACAAAAATCATATTACCACAAGGACATTTACACCAGAATGTTTACTGCAGTTCAATTCATAATTTCCAAGTCATGGAAACAACCCAAATGCCCATCAACCCATGAATAGATTAACAAATTGTGGTATACATATACCATGGAGTATTATTCAGCCATAAAAAGGGTGGAGAGTTTACCTCTTTTATGTTTACCTAGATGGAGTTGTGACACATTCATCTTAGTAAGGTATCTCAATAATGGAAAAAAAATATTACTAATATACTCAATACTAATATGAAACCAACATATAGACATTTACATGCTCAGATGAATGATAAAACACAAATAGAGGCTGGCAAGGGGGAGGAGAAGAGGGATTGGCAGGAGGGAAGGCATCTGGTGGGATCCCTCCTAATGTGCATAACACAGGGTTGTTCAGCTCACCCCCTGGGTGAGGTCTCTACCACAACTTGAACTTTACCTCGGGAGTGAGAACAATGTAACTTCAAAATGTGTTCCCTCATATTAATTTGAAATTTTAAAATATTTTTTAAAATATTGTCTGTCAATAAACTTTAAAATAGATTACTGTAATTATTTATCTAGGAACTGAATCTTTCTAAATAGTATCAGAGGATAAGAAATTCAATTCAGGCTCGGCGCCTGTAGCTCAACCGGCTAAGGCGCCAGCCACATACACCTAAGGTGGCGGGTT